TGTTAGTATTCAAACCAATATGATATTTATGCATATACAAGTATATACTTGCATATGTATGCCATAATATGTACAAATTTTTCTAAACTTATTTTAAAATTGATTGCCACAATCCTGTTTTTACAACAGATAATGCTGCTTATAAGCAAACCACAGGGGCCCCTAGTAAAATAATATTTTTATTCAAATATATGTATGAACATTAATGTATTAGAATTGAACATTTTAAGCAAAAACGTACATAAATATGAATGTATACCTATTTTTTTAAAACTGCGGGTGAACATATAGAAATAAGTTTCTCAAATAAAGAAAATGGTATGTATGTATGTATATTTTTTTTTAAAGCTTCCTGAGTAATTTTTTTAAGCTTTCTATATAAATTTAATAAAATTCAAAACGGTAGAATATATAGAAATAAATTTTAAACGCATAATAATTATATCATGGGGGTAAACTTACAAAAATTAATTTCTCAAATAAAGAAAAGGTTTAGTCAAAAATAAAATAATAATTTTATTCAAATATGTATGTATGTATATATGAATATATGTAGGTATGTATATATGAAAGTTTTAGAATTGAAGATTTTAATATTTTTCGTTCCAACATATGAACGTATGTACATATGAATGTATTAGAATGGAAAATTTTGAAATTTTGCTGTTGGGACAATTAGAAATAAAATTATTAATACAAACACACATAATTATGAATGTATACCTAGTTTTTTAAAACTGCGGGTGAACATATAGAAATAAATTTCTCAAATAAAGAAAAGGTTTAGGTTAAAATAAAATAATAATTGTATTCAAATATATATATGTACATATGAATGTAATTTTTCAAATAAAGGAAAGGTTTAATGCTTGCCTGGATGGTGTCATATTTTTTTTTTTTGGTTTATTTACGTTAAGATTAATTCGATTATGCGAACCAAAAATATGTGAGATCATTATATTTTCAAATATTATTTATTTCCAGGTTTGTGTTTCTAATATGTTAATAACGTAAAACGTACCATTTATTTCTTGGTTTGTGTTTCTAATTATAAAAAGTATAAAAGAAAAACGTGCTTTTCTTATACAAAAATTTTTTCAGAAAATCTTAAAATAGAGCTATTTCGGGGCTAAAAAGTTCCAATGTCAGATTTTTCTGGGACCCTAGAGGCAAAACTCTACCTAATGCCTTTTGTCCCATGTCTCTAGCCCTTCTAGAAGTACTCGTACTTTTTACCACCTGAGACGTAGCTATATATATATATAATATATGTAAGTATCCTTGAACTATTGAAAGCAATGTTTACGAAACAAACTTGTTGATTTGTGAAAAATATACATTGCTTATAATTTGCATTTTGAATCAGAATTTGAGCTTAATGATTTTCGTCATAGTTATTATTGTCATATCATTTTTTTAATATGCATATTATAATAATCTTCATGCTTTTTTAATTTCCTTACCTTTCGATTTTTTTAAAATTTTAAAAACTCAAAAACGCTTAACCAAATACGAATGCAAACTAAAAAATATTTAATTGCGCTGGTAAAAACTGAAAAGTATAATATGGATCATGTAATATTGTCAATATCCTTAGGTTTGTAAATTGGATCTTGTCACATTGCTTATTTTATGCTTTATTTGCACATTGGATGTCAAGGTATGTATGTGTGTGTGTGGATATATGACAATGAGATCAGTATAAAACTTTTCAAAGAAAAATAATTATAGTTCTCAGATGATGTAATAGAATAACAGATTGATGTAGTAACTTACTTTTTATTTTGTTTATCTTTAATGACTTACTTTTTATTTTGTTTGTTTTGATCCTACTGTGAAGGTTTTCCAATGATATTTCACAATTTTTTGTTGCGTTAATCATTATTTTTATATTATATGTTTAGGACATAGGCATGAAATATGCAAATCAAAAACTTTCAACATATGACCATGGCCATAGACTATATAAAAGTACGATTTGTATAATTTATTCTTGTCAGCGTTTTTCTATTTTAGGTATAAATTCTCTTATGAATAAAGTAATAATATGATAATATTTTACGTTGAAAATATATTACTAATCAATGAAGAAGGTATAACGATTGGGAGTAGAAGAAAAAATGAAGTAGATTCAAAAAGATTACTGTTATCTCAGGTAAAATCAGACATATGAATAAACGAAAGGCAAACTTCAATTTAAAAGCATACAAAGAAAAACATTTTCAAAACAAATAAATTTTTATTAAATATTATTTATTTAAAATATTATTCAATTATATCTATGTTTTTCAGCTCTGCAATAAATGAGCTGATTTCGGTATAATTATTATAATTGCCAGCTATTTCTGATGCAATTAAAATTTTTAATCTGTCAATTAATTCGTTTGGATCATCTCAGTGAATAAATTGCGTTCGTGTTTTGCGTTTCGTTCTTGTTTAGCTAAATTAGTTAAGTATTGATGTGTGAAGGCCGTAGTTAGTTCATTAATGGATCTGACAATAGGTTTAAATGTTTTCTTTAAAGCATTTTCTTGTGTTATTTTTTGAACATTTACGGCATTATATTTTTTATGTAAATCTTTTTTGATTTTAATCAACGCATTCAAAAGTTTTTTCTTAAGACTATATGAATTTTTTCGAGAAAAATTTGTAAATTGTTTTGAGCTCTTACGTATAATGCCATCAGCTATTAATATTGGTTGGACATCTCTGTGAGAATTATTTTTAATATTATGTTTATTTCTTATATGTCGTGAAAGGTTATCAGATCGGGTGAATTTTAATTTGCAAATATTGCACGGAGAGAATTCTCGACCAAAATCTTCATTTTCCTCACTTTTTCCATGTATTGAAATATTATCAATAAAATTATGTTTTTCCTTTTCCCCATGGATTGTCAGTTAAGTTGTTATTGTTTTTTAAAGAATTTAATTTTTTCTTTAAAATTTTCGAAGCTGCTTTCATGTTGCTATGTTTCAAATCCTGAATCTTAAGATAGAATAAAAATACTGACGTACCATCAAATAATCAAACAATTGTGGCTCTAAAAAAATATGGGTTAGTTAGTTAAACTATAAATATGTAGGTACATACATTATGTCAACAACATTAACTAATCAGTAACAGATTAATAACCGACCACTAACGGCTTCATCAGCAACCAATCAGCCACAAATCAGGAACGGATTATCAACAGATCAGCAACCGATCAGTAAACGATCAGTAACCGATCAGTAAGCGTTCCAGAATTGATTCCACACTCCCAAATTTCCTTTTATTTTTCCTAATCAACACTAATTTTTCCAGAATTGATTTCCCTCTACACTTTAGCGATTGACTAATTTAGATTCATATGTATGAACAAAAACTTTATTTTTAGCACTTTTCCAAAAATTTTTTGAAAAAAAGTGTTTATTATCTTTAGATACCACAGAAAATAGCCTAGAGGATTTCTTACGTACCAAATTCAAATGTACAGAGGTAGTTTGTAAGAAAATTACGCCGGCGTTTCTCAAGCAGAAGGCAAAATATCTCACCTTTAAAGCCAGCGTACCAAGGTCTAAACTAAGGAAAATTCTAAATCGTAAGCATTGGCAAGCAGGTACTCTTTTGGAAAAATTTTTCGATAAATCTAACATTAAAGTTAAGAATAAACTGCCTAACCACGACACTAATTCTACTAACAGTAACTTTATTAATAATAATAGAAATAGACTTGACAGTAGAAAAAAGAAAAACAGCAGCGACACAAATTTTATCAATAACAATACTAACAAAATTAATACAAAACATAGTACTACTAATTTAAAGAACAACAATAACAGAAATAAAAATAGGAAAAACAATGACAAGATTAATAAAAATAAAGGCAGCAATAAAACTAATAATAATAATAATAATAATATTAATAATAATAATAATAAAAATAATAACAATAATAATAATAATAATAATAATAATAAAAATAATAATAATAATAATAATAATAATAATAATAATAATAATAACAATAATAATAATGATAATAATAATAATAATAATAATAATAATAATAATATTGATAATAATAACAATACCAGCAATAAGAACAATAATAATAACAATTATAGTATTAATATTAATGACAATAATAATAATGATAGCAATAATAATACTAATAGTAATGACAGTAATAATAATGACGGCAATAATAATATTATTAGCAATAATACTGACAATCATATGAATAATGGTGCCAATAACAATAATATTGGCAAGTATTCAAATTTCATCCAGGGCGAAACATGCAACGGAACCGTAAAAGCTCAAACTTGTAAAAGTGGCGAGACCAATGCGGCGACTATTCAAACTACTCCAATTCCCATCTTGCCTTCACAATCTTTTATAGATCCACTTGTTCTACCAGTTGTTCGTATGACAAAAAAGGCAGTTGAGGCTGGTGACAGTACGTACATTTTGTCTCGCTTTAGAGACAGGGTTGTCTATGAAAACGTTAAGCTTTATCTGGCTTACTTACATGACGCGGCGGACACAGTGCATCATGACGGCTAGACTCAGTTCAGCATAAAAGTTTTCATAGAAAGTGAGGGTCTCCCTTCTGATTACACTCTCCTCCTGACACTGTACAAAAGATTTCATGAAACTTTAAATATGCAACCTGAAAGTGTCGAGAAGGACCTACAGACTTATCGGAAACACATGAAGAGTAAATGGGTTGATTACTTACAAAGAATGAGGGAATCAAACGATAGGTTTTTTCTTCCGTCGGGATCCTCTAAATCACCATCAAAATGGTTTAAATAGTGACGAACCCACCTTTAAAGCCTCCCATAGTAGTCTTGTGACTATTCGTCCCATCAAATCATCTGTTTTCCCTAACATATTTTACCATAATTGCAGCGATTTAAGAGGAAAGCTTAAAAATCTCTTTATTGATGCTAAATCTTGCAATTTCAATACTTTAACTCTTACGGAAACGTGGTAGAACGATTCTTTCAAAAATGAGGAAATACTTGACAGTAATTGGTCTGTATACAGAAAAGATCGTGATTATAATTACTGGTAATCCAGTAACTACTGGTCAATCCAGGGGTGGGGGCGTTTTGATCGCCGTCAACAATCGGTTACCAAACCAATTGGTATCCACTTCAGTTTTTTCCACTTTCGACCATCAATTTATCAAAATATACTCAGGTAGAATCTATACCTATGTGGGAGTGGTTTACTTTCCCCCTTATTCTGACGAATCCTCTTATAACGATTTCTTTTCCATATGTAACGAAATATTTTCACAAATGCATGAGGATGATGAGATAGTTGTTCTAGGTGATTTTAATCGGTCGGCTTTATCGTTTATCAACGATGAATATGATAACCATCTTCTTCCAGTCAACTTCATGGAAGACATCGATTTTAATCTCGTTAGTACGTTCTATGGAAACGACTTGCAGCAGGTGGTACGTTACCCAAATGAAAGAGGTAATTGGTTGGACTTAGCTTTCTCAAATGCCTATGACAGCATACGGGTCCGACTTGCTACAGACGAAGAGAACCTTTTCAAAAATTCTATTCATCATAATGCAATTGTTCTCGAATTTCCTAATAACAAACTTAAGTTCTCTAAATCTTACAATAAAGAGATTGTATATGATTTTCTTAACGCCGACTACAACAGCATCAATTATGCTCTTAGCTTAATTAATTGGAACGATATGTTCCATCAGGACAATTTAGACAATATTATCTCCGATTTTTACTCTATTTTGTTCAGATTAATTGACGCCCATGTTCCAAGAATCCTTAAAAAGGATAGACTGGCGGAACCATGGTTAGATCGTAATTTAAGACAATTACGTAATCGGAGAAATAAATTATACAATAAAATTAAGCATTCTAGGGACAATAACTCACTTATTAATGAATATAATGACTTGGCGAATGAATTCAAAAATAAATCCAATGAGGCATATGATATTTATATCCAAAATATAGGCAGCTCGATTTTGGGGAACCCGAAAAGATTTTTTGACTTTGTTAACTCCAAACGTAAATCGTCGGGATATCCGAGCTCCATGAGCAAGAACGGGTTAATATCATCTTCTAACTCTGAGATTTGCAATTTTTTTGCCGATAATTTTCAACAAACTTATAGATTAGATTCTTTCTAATTATGTCTATACCCCCACTAGTATAGATAACGGTCATCCCCTTTTTAAAGATGTTCATCTTTCAGTAGACAACGTACTTCAGGGTATTTGTGACTTAGAAACCAATAAAGGACCTGGACCGGACCTTATACCGCCTATACTTCTTCATAACTGTAGACACAATTTATCATATCCGCTTACTTTGATTTTTAACAAATCATTATCCTCTGGTTTTTTCCCGTCAATATAGAAAACTTCATACCTCATACCTATTCATAAAAAGGGGGATAAGACTGCGGTTGAAAACTATAGGGGAATTGCCATTCAATCTGTCATTCCTAAATTACTTGAAAAATTGGTTACGGGTATAATTGCACCCATTGCTAACCCATTACTAAATAATGAGCAACACGGCTTTAGGAATGGTCGCTCTGCGACCACCAACCTATCAATTTTTACATCCGATATTCTTTCGTTTATGGAAAGAGGGTTTCAAGTAGATGCGATATATACAGACTTCAGCAAAGCTTTTGATCGCATTGATCACATTGTCTTAGAGCATAAGCTAAGACAATTTGTTTTTAGGAACCCACTATTGGGATGGTTAAAATCTTACTTCACTGAAAGGACCCAATTTGTCAGGTTCCAGGGTGTTAAGTCGAAACCTATCCATGTCTACTCTGGAGTTCTCTCAGTGTTTGGCGGGTGTTCCGCATCTGATTTATGCTGATGATCTGAAAATGTATCATATTGTAAGGGATATTTCTGACACTAATTATCTCCAATTAAAGTTAGAACATCTAAATTCTTGGTGTGAGACTAATAAATTAGATCTTAACGTTAAAAAATGTTATGTTATTAGTTTTTCGCGTAAGCAATCAAACCTCTTTCAAGAATATTCACTTCAAAACTCCACTTTAGAACGCGTTGCTGATCTAGGTATTATTATGGATAGTAAACTCAATTTCAATTTTCATTATGATTCTATTGTTTCTAAAGCAAGCAAAATGCTAGATTTCATTAAGAGGAGAGCCAGAGAATTCAACAATACTGAAGTAACTAAATCCCTCTATTGCTCCCTTGTTCGTTCTGTTCTTGAATATGGCAGTATTATTTGGGATCCGGCATTTTCTGTACACAGAAGTAAAATTGAGTCGGTTCAAAAACAATTTTTGTTATTTGCTTTGAGAGGCCAATATAACCCCAATGACTTCCAAAATATTCCTTCATATAAAATTAGACTTCAATCCCTGAATATGTTAAGTCTGGAGTCATGCCGGTCTTTGTTGTCTTCTTGTTTTACCTATGATGTCCTAACAGGAAAAATAGACGTGGACTTCATTAGAGGCAAAATTATTATCAACAACGACGTCAGACCTACCAGACATACTAAATTTTTAAAAGAATATACTCATAGGACTGAATATGCTAAAAATGAACCAATAAATAGATGTTGTACTGTATTCAATCGTTTTAGTCATTTTTTTTCACCAGCAGTTACAAAATACACCTTCAAAAAAAAAATTCATAATTCACTACTGACCTAGTACAATATCATATGATAATTATATGATCTAATTGTACAATTATTAAATCATATTAATATTAAATACCTACTCAGCATAAATGATAATATAATAAAATTCTTTCTTTTTATTTATTATTTTTTTTTATATGTATCATATTACATTTGTGTAATAAATTCATTTAATGTTTTGTTAGTGTAATTCAACTTAGTCTATAAGTATGTATAATGTATATTTTTGCCAATTTTTGTAAACTATGTAAATTTTTGTAATTATGTAGCATCTTGCTTGGTGCAAATTAAATAAAAAAAAAAAAAAAAAAATTAAAACAATTTAATGACACATTCGGAGGATTGAGACATATTTGGATTTTTTGGTTATTACTTATGTGTTCAGGTTATTACGTGAAATGTGAATATGACTCCACTCTGTCGTTTTATAAATCAGTTCGCGGTCCCGATTTTATTATTTGGTTGTAAAGAACTTCAAAAATTTGCTGAAAATGTGGAAACTGTATTACTTTGGCCATTATCTATGGATAAATTGACTAACGAACAAAACAACGACTGAATCAGCGAAGCTTTGCCACATTTGTGAAGGCGAATTTGATGATTCTGATCAAAAAGTAAGGGATCACTGTCACTTTACGGGTAAATTTCGTGGTCCAGCACATCAGGTACTTAAATTTTCAAAATAGTCACACAATTCTCATTGTTTTCTATAATTTAAGTGGTTATGACTCACACTTTATAATAAAAAATTTAGCAACTGATTTACAAGGAATGTTGGATTTATTACCAATAAATAAGGAACAATATATATCTTTTACGAAAGATATAGAAGATTTTCGAATTAAATACTTTAACTCCTTTCCAATTTTAGAATCTGAGTTGAAAGACATGACTATTGAACAAATTAATTTACTAAAGAGAAAAGGTGTCTATCTTTGGTTGATAAATTTTGTAATCAATTAAACGATTCTGGTATAACTGAGAATGATTGTACACATACCCAAAAAGTGTGGCAAACACAAATAAAAAATTTAGGTGAGATTTTGATTTATATCTCAAAACTGACGTACTCCTCCTAGCGGGCACCTTCGAACAATTTCGTTTAAGTTGCCATCAAATGTATTGGTTATATCCAGCCCATTATTATACACTACCACGGTTTGGCATGCTCAAATATTCAAATATTACCTTAGATCTTCTTACATCGATATGCTTATGTTTGTTGATGAAGTCAATGTACAAAACGTTATTCTAAAGCTAGTAACAAATATATTTCTAATTTTAACCTTACTACCTTCAAAATACTTAATGTCTAACGACATTAATAGTCAATATGGATGGGCAATGCCACAGTTTCTTCCAGAAGGTGAGTTCAAATGGTATAATAATGTCGCAAATTTTAATGTTGAGTCTATTATTGAAAATTCTCAAATTGGCTATTTTTGGAAGTGGGTTTGGAATATGCGGAAAAAATTAATAATTCACACAAAGACTTGCCATTTTGCCCAGAACATATTTCTTCCCCTCATTCAAAGGAAAAGAATATGCTTGCTACTTTAAACAATAAATCAAGATATACAATTCACTACACGAATTTAAAGCAAGCAATTAAAAACGGGTTAAAAGTTTCCAAAATTCCTAGAATACTACAATTCAAACAATCACCGTGGCTCAAGTCGTACATTGATTCGATCACAAAGCTTCGAATACAGGCAAGAAATGATTTTGAAAAAAATCTTTTTAAATTAACAAGATTTGATTAACAAGAACAAAAAAAAAAGCGGTTTTCGGTAAAACTATGAAAAATGTTCGTAAGCATAGTATAGTAAAATTAGTTACAAAGTGGTGTGGCCGATATGGAGCTGAAGCTCTGATTTCCAAAGCAGAGTTTAAGATTTCAACCATATGCTTCCACAATTTAATAAAAACTGCACTATTTGCCATACTGACACGGATTCGTTAATATATGAAATTATTTGTCCCGATTTGTATGAAATTATACGAAGAGATTGCTACTTGTACTTCAATACCAGTGACAATAAATGGGGTATTCCTCTTATAAATAAATAAAGTTGGGTCAAACCAATGGTTTGTATTGTAGCACTTTTCTCTTCAACAAGCGAAAATTCTGCTGTTCAATACAGTCTATGTATACCTATCACACGGCAGTGCATATATGCAGTCTTTGAAATAAAGCAAAAATTAATATAAGGTGGGGTTAACATAAAGCTCGATTTTAAGGTTTAATTGTGTGATTTAAGAAAAATAATTATATTTTTTAATGATATGGAATTTACTATTATCTTTTGCGGTTATAGAAATTTGAAGAAGCTTGCGGTTTCGGAAATATAAGGTGTCAACAATTCAAATTTTACAAATTTCAAGAGGCGATAACTTGAGAGGGGGTGGAAATGGAAAAACATTTTCTTCTAACGAAATAAAGCATTTATTAATGTCTAAAAGCTCCTAAAATTTCAAGCTTCTAGAGGCTGGGGTCTAGAAGAAAAATGATATCAAAAATTTGGAAAAAAAGGACTTTAAATAACGGTAAATTTAAGCGGCCATTTTGTTTTTCTAAAGTTTAACTATATATACCGCGCTAGAGGAAGGAACCCACTGCCTTTCTGCGTTTACAAAATTTCAAAAATGCTTATGGTTTCATTGCAAAAAATAGTTAAAAAAGGCTATTTTAAGGTTTTGGGGGGTATAACTTCTAGAGGGGGGGAGATAGGTAAAAATTTTGTTCTACGGAAATAAGTTTCAAGTAAAGATCTATGTACGTATTAAATTTCAGCTTTCTATCTTTAAGGGTGTAGAAGTTTTGTAAACAAAAAACGTGTCAACGGACGGACGGACGGACTGACGGACGGACAGAGTGAAACTAATAAGCACTTTTTTTCAAAAAATTTTTGGAAAAGTGCTAAAAAGTGCTAAAAAGTGCTGGGTCTAATAAAACAATGGAAAAATTATGACTGAGTTTGTAGGGCTAAGACCTAAAATGTACGCCATTCGAGTAGAGGAAATGAAATTTTAAAGAAAGTAAAACGAGTCAAACAACATGTTGTAAAAAATCAAATAATATTTGAAGATTACTTAGATTGTATAAAAAGAAAAATTTGGAAAAAACGATTAATCAAAATATTATTTAATCAGAAAAACATAATTCAGCTGTAAAACAAAAATAGCTCTAAGTCCTCGTAATGATTAAGGATATTTAATAAATAATAGTTATGAATATTATTTAATAAATAATACTATATTTTCATTATAGTATTATGGAAATAGAATTAAAACTAATATATGATTTAATATAACGCTATCAGGCCTCCAAGTTGAAATTTATTTCTCGAAATTTTGAATCGGAAAGAATTACAAAAACAATTCTTAATGTTTTATGTTTTTGAAGTATGCCGAATAAAATAATTTTTTATTTTTTTTGTGAAATTTTTGAGTATTCATTCATTTTATTTAGTATAGTTTTAAA